TATCAACAATTTAAATTTTAATCCAAACCTAATATATCCAAAGGAACTTGTAACAAAGAAGTAACAGTAGTGATATTCATGCACATTACTTAGACTTAGACATTAATTTTGTAGAAGGCAGAGTACAGTTGACTATTTTTGATAAAAGAATGGAATTTGATTTTCTCATCCTTAGTCTATCCACCCCTAAGTGTTGTTTTATCCATACAGCAAAAATGAATTATTATCTCTCAATTAAAAAGATTTAAAAAAAAATTTGTAACAATAGCAATTCTTTTTTTGGATAATTTTCATTTATTCATAAAGAAATTGAAAAATGAAGGCTATAAGAACTGGTATAGTAAAAAAACGTTTTTATTTATTACTCTTTTATAATAAATACGAAATTATATCAAAAAGAAAACTCTCAATAACAGGAAACTACCTTGTGGAGTGCATAGGTTGTTAGTTACTCAAGGTCATCCTTGGCTTATAATTAACTAACTAAAATATTTAGGTATTTTGTTCAGTATACTTGGGCAGAAAGTCTAGATGGGCTTAGCTCACTCACATTAAATTTGAACAAATTTTCAAGAGAAAAGGAGGAGGATGGGGAATTAAGAACTATTAAGGTAAGAGTTTTAGTTTTGTTTAACATCATTTTGTAATTAATTATTAAATAATAGGGTGGAGATCGGGAGTTTTGTAGAAATATAAAGTGGTCTATTTCTACTATGAGAATATTTTTGCCTTTTTGTTCATCTCATAAATGGGTGGAGTTGGGGAGTTTTACACTGTAGAAATTTAAGGTTTATTTCTACTTTAAGGTTATATCTAAATATTAAGGGTAACTGCCTTTCCACAATGGGTTGTAGACAAAAAAAGGCAGTAGGAGTTGAGACATTATGGGTTCAATGATTCAACTCATAACCCTTAACTGGTTTTCCTTAGTTGCTGGCTAGTTTGACATCAGCAACTGGATCTTGTGATAGGTGGAATATCCCAAACACATTTGGTAGTATAGCCACAGATATTACCCATTATAAATTTTAATGACAACAAAGACTGGTAGTGGAAAACTAATTTTGATTTTTGAGTCTCTTGGTAATGTTTTTGATATATATATATATATATATATATATATATATATATACACACACACACACACACTACTACTATAGTGTACACAACAACTATTAC